GTGGATGGGCACAATGAAGGAAGAAATGTGATCAAAGTTACCACTATTTTCCTACTTATACATGCTTGTTACATCAGCACTAGTTAAACCTGTTTTTAGCAGTTATTTTTGATGTATGAAGCATTAAATCAGTCCAACCTTTTAGTTTTTATAAGCTGATATGTTTCAGTGCTGTATACAGAATACCAAATAGAACCATCTGGGTATTGTGGCCGAAACAGTAGCCATAGCATGAAGGTCCACTAGCAGGACATTGGAACACTGTCACCTCTGAGATTACACAACTTTATTCCAGGTTGGAGTTCTGATGATAGTTTAATTTGCCATGTTCATGTAAACTACTGCCTCTCAGTCTGTGATAATGTGCATGGGAGGAGAGCTCCCTCTAGTGGTACAACTTCAAGCCATCAGGTTATTTGGGATAATCTGGCCATTTTAATAGCTTTATTATTTCTAGATAAACATTCTGTCAATATCTTTTTGATATATTTAGAAATAAAATCCTGAGGCTTTTGTCTAAGGCACTGCAGCATGTAAAAGGTTTGAACTGGTGGATGTGGAGGATCCTCACATGGACAATGATGCCATGGAGGAGTGAGAAGAAAAACATATTAATCCCAATCTGAGTCTATTTTTCTGTTTAGGGAAGGGTTGGTATAGGTGGGTCTGCCTGTAAGGAGTGGGTCGAGGGTCTGTAGTGGTACAGTTATTTTAAAAGAGAGACAGATTAACAACAAGAGATGGTTTAAGCTCCAGTTTAGTTTCTGATGGTTTTGACAGATTGAATATAGTTTGGCTTATTTCACTCCCTGGGGTTAGATTAGATTAGATTAGATGGATTTGATAAGAATCTGTTTGATTTTATCATTTCATATGATCAGATTCGATTCAATTTGAACAGAGTTGATTGTATTGGATCAGAGTGGAGTTCATTCAATCGGATTCAGTTTAATCCGATCAGACTCCTTTCGATTCGATCAGATTCGATCTAATCTGTTCAGAGTCGATTCGATCAGATTCTATTGAATTCGATCTCCGCGTATATTGGCAGTTTATACTTTTATATACTTTATACTTTTATATACTTTATAATTTTATAACTTTGGCTAGATTCCTCCATCTTTCAGGACAGGCATTAAGCTTTTCTGTTTCTTAATAATTCCTGATATTTCAGCCATGTTTCTGCTACTTTTCAGAAAAGAAATTAAGCTTTTCTGTTTTCCGCTATTTCATAACATTTCAGCCATTTTGGCTCCAAATTCTCCTTGTTTCTCTCTTTGTACTACATTTACAGTGCATTTTCTCAGGAAATTCAACTTGTTCTAATTTTAGGTGATCATTCTTATGAAAGGCTGTTTTTTTTTTTCGGTTAGGGCTGTCCTTTACTTCACTGCACGTCAGCCTCATCCTGTCAGGACAAACCCAGGGATTTTCTGCGCAACGTGACGCGCCTGCAAGATTAAACTCAGGGCTGGACGCTCACCATCGTCCTTGACAGACAACAAGAAGCCAAGATGGCGGCCGCCGTGAAGACTCTGGGCTCCAGCCTGGCGAGAAACCTGCGAGAGATCCGCATTCACCTCTGCCAGAACTCTGCAGCCAGCCGGGGGGCTAGGTAGGCGGGGAGCTGGGGTCCGAGGCCGGGATGACATGGAGGTCCACCCCGAGGGAAGGAGAGGGAAGCTAACAGCGGCTAACAGCAGCTAACCCCGAATTAACTCCGCTAACTGGTTATAATGGTGTTTATGTGCTA